GAGGAACGGTGTTTCTAACCAGACTCACATTCGGTCAACAGACAAAACCGCCGTGGAAGCCTACGCAATCATAGCAATACTTCTCTTTATGTCAGTACAACTGAATAGCCCAAGTTGAGGAACGAGTTTATGTAACAATTTGTTTCGTGACAGTCTCTTTTAGCTGCAGAATGTTGCTTTAATCTCGTTTCTCAGCTTCGTCGAGGCGACAGGAAGACCTTGTGGAACGTGCCTAGTCTTGCGTCGTCTGCCCGAATATTCGTGATTTCCAGCCTCAAACCACTGACTTGGTACATTAACAATGCAGAAAGGGGAAATTATGCTGAAATCTTATCTCGTAAATATAATAAACTCGTTGTCGCAACCTGGTCTTGTTGCCAGGGCAGTTTTAGTAGAACACACCTAGTCAGAAGTTGTCCGCCATAGTAGTTGCCATGACTCCCAGCATCAGACAGTGGACTTGGTACATTCTCAAAACGTCAGTGAGTACTGTCATTCTTCGCATCAAAGAGATAAGTGGAGTCAATCCTTCCATCCAAATTCTGCCGAAAACGGTTACACTCTCACTCCTCTTTCTGTCTTGGCCTATCTATCTACTCTTTACCCTCTTATCACAACTTCTCATTTGTTTACATTCCACAATTCAAAATTGTTGCCCTTTTTTGAGAATGTACCAAATCCACTGTCCGATGCTGGGACTTATGACAACTGCTATGGCAGACGACTTCGGACTAGGTGCGTTCTACTAAGTCGCCATGACAACAAGACCAAGTTGCGACGACGAGGTCAACCCACGTCTATAAATCGAAAGGAGACTGCGACCATACCAGAGGCCACAAAATCTTATTAGGGGGATCTTCATTTCGTATGAAAGTGCATGAAAAAGAGATTCGTTGGTAGATGTGACCAGATGAGGACGGATGAAACTCGTTGTACTGCAACCGGTTGGATTTCATACGATATTCATGTTGCTCTTTCGTTTCGGGTGACAACGTGCTAAGCTTTCGTCCATCATTCGATGGACATCACCAGAGCTGGGTGTGATTCTTGTAAAAGTCAAAAGTTAACACGAGGGCAAGAAGACTAACTGGCTTTATCTTACGAATCTCTTTTTCATGCACTTTCATACGAAATGAAGGTCCCCCTAACAAGGTTATGTCAGCAGATTCCTCGAAACCCAGTTTTTCTTCGTATCCACAACATCTTGGTCTGCATATCTCAAATCTAATGACATTTTTGCCTCTTTTCCCTTCTTCCCTCCCCCGCCCGATAAGTCGTCCAATCTCAGCCATCGACGTGTGAAGAGCAAATACGCTACAGAACCGGACCTCAGGCACCGCTCGCCAATCTTCAGTCCCCTTCACGTGTGCCGGATGCTCTCTGGCATGGCACAACAGGCCCTCTGCTCTCCGAGCCCTCCAACGCGGCGCAAGCGTGTCCGTGAATCCGAGTCGTGCTCCGAGTCGCCGGAGCCCCAATGCCACGAGCCATCGGGAAGCCGTAGGCTGGCTCAAGCTTGTGGGACACTGGAACCGGAGCAATTGTCCCAACAACTCGTCTCCGATCTCCGATTGGCTGGGATCCCGCTCACACGCTCTGAGCGCGCAAGGATCGTCACCTTCCGCGATCAGGTGCATCTGGCCATGCGCGCCTGGGACGATGTGCACGTACCAGATCTGGCCACTGAGGTTGGTCATAAAACGACTACTATCGCATAGTTGGTAGATTGGCGTAATTCCCGGCTCGAGGGCTGGAACCATTATAATAATGTGGTTTGTGTGTGTGTGTGTGTGTGTGTGTG